TTAATATGATATAATAAGATGCTAAAATGCTTTATATATTTGTTATTTGTTCGATGTGTTTTTTCCTTGCATGATATCTTACACTTTTTGGAGATCATCGCTATAAACAATGGTTGTCCACCCTTAGCGGATTCATGAACTCAAATATACCTACCATGATTTCCCGAGGTTTGTGTAGTTCTGCTGGTTACAAACAGATATTTGCACTGGATTGTGTGATTGTGTTCCCACATTGCTAGACATTTCTTGGCGAATATTCGCAGGACTGTGTGTATATGACCAAATAGTCCATGATATCCATATGCTCCATGTATGGTATATTTACCTACATGACTGGCTGATTTTTAGGGCAAATGTAGGTAAATATACGCGTAAATATACCAGCACCATGGAGCGTATGGGATATTGTATCACCACGGTTATCGCTCATCCCGATTTTTGGTGGGATACTGACCCAAAAATTGGTTTCAGAACCTGCGCGCGGAAAGGGCTAGAAAGGGATGCTCCGTTGCTCGGTACTGTTTCAGACAAAAACGTGTTGTACTCTGAAAACATATGCCATACAATAGAGCATGTTGCAAAAGCACTCAAAGCCATCTTACCAATACGATTTTCACAGTCGGACCACGTGAATCAAACAATCTGAAAATCAGACAAAGGTGGGTCTGTCACAACTTCCACGTCAAAAAGAAACTCGCCACAATGGCCAAGAAATCAAACAAACTCAAAACAACCAACCTCAGAAGATACAAATGTTGATCAATGTTGACTTCTCACAATCACATCAATTGGTTGTCACTGATATGAATGAACTGCCTTCGTTTCCACAATGATGCATGGATATGATTGAACTGCAGCACTTCATATGCTGTTTTAAACAGCCCGCAGATCCAGCCATCGACCAAAGCTGAGCAGCCATCTCCTGTAATGTCCACCTCAGATCAAAATTGCGAACGGATTTAGCATGGAAAATGGATGGTTTATGGATGCCCAACCATACATGGTGATATGAATATAATAATTAATGGTCTGAAATGGTATAAATTTTACTATATAAATCACTCACCGTCCTGAAATGGGTAGCTATCTTAAGATAGCCAAAAGATTTCAAACGCCCAATCCAATCCAACCATCATTCCAGAATCCAACCATCATTTCGTACTGTTCCGAAAATTGCTCCAGCGGAACCTACTTGCGAATCACCCCTTCCAATAAAAAAGTTGCATCACTGGATCTGTTGCTGAACAATTACCATTTCTGCAAATCACTTCTCAAAGATCTAGCATGAAATTTCTTCCTAAATGACACTCCGATATACATTGTCCAAACCAATACAAATATATATATATATAGTATAATTTATGTTATATATTAAAATATATAGTGTAGTGTATATATATATATTTATATCTAATAAAACACAATATATATATATATATATGTGGAATTAACACATATATATATATATATATGTATAATAAATTTGATCAACAAATATATATAGAAAACAATGATATGCACCAAACTTCCCATACCCACGTGGATTCTATCCCTTGCTTCCCCGACATCGCTCCGCCCTTCGGCTCCACCGAGAAAAAAGCGGGGCACATAATGCGCCGGCATCAAGCGCTCCACAAGATCTCGGGACTTCTGGAAGAGGGGCACGATGACCTCAGGGGCATACCGGTAACCAAAAGAAACAAATAGCTCTGGGAAATCACCATAGCTGAATTGGTGAATTCGAACTATAAATGGTCATTTTCAATAACTATAACTATTTTTAGTAACATAACTAATGGATTAATGAAACATCACCATGATTTATGGTTATTTTCAATAGCTATGTTCAGTCAGTCCTAAATCCACTGGTTGATCATCTTGTCCATCGAAAATTACATTTTTTGACCCACCAGTTGAGCAGTTGACTTGAAACTGTTAAAGGTCTTTAAAATCCTGAAAAGTATGCATCTTAAAAAGTCTATTCACTGCAATGATCACTTGGATCAACATCTCATATGCGAAACATGTATGCTACGTTTAACTAACATAACTATGGAAAATCACCATGTTTCATGGGAAATCTACTATTTCTATGGCCATTTTCAATAGCTACGTTAGTTTACCAGAGGGTATGCTACGTTTAACTAGCCACAACCACCATACGTCGTCCGTCACTGTGCCATCCACGGAGCATGTGGAAATATCGAATGGAAGCCATAGAGAGAGAGAGAGAGAGAGGCCATGGTGCAAATGTCTTATCATTAGGATTTTTTGCACAGCCATGTTAGGGATATATTAAGACAATATAACATAATATAATACAATATAATAAAATATAATAACGTAAAATACAATATAATACATTACAATATAGTACAATATATTATATGTAATTTAATGAAGCAATTCATGTGCTGAGTAGTTCACTTTAACCCCATGCCATGACCGAACATGCCCCGCCGGGCAACCAAGTTCACCAAATCGATGATTTGGCCAAAGACCACAACAATACCCACCTGATCGCACCATGGAACTGGGTCTCATGGAACCCATGTTTGATCCCCCAAAAAAGCTAATCCTTTAGCTAGTTAACATATGTGTGGATAATATATATATATAAATATGTGTGTATATTGTATATTGTATATGTATATATTTGAATTTTGTGCATTTATGATATATATGATATAACGTATATATCTTTAGTTCTACCTTTACTATCCCCAGATACCCCAAGCTTTCCGGAAAGTTTACCATTGACTCCCGATCCGAAAGTTCCGACGTGTCGATCAGTCGATCATCATGCTATATGGTTGGTGGTGCAAAATATGAAAGTCAATGGGAAGGATTATCCCATATATTATGGAAAATCAAAAATGATTGAAACCACAAACCAGCTATTTTCAAAATGGAACAGAACGTCGTTTGAAGTTACCTTCGAACCATCCAGCATTAGTGATGAACACTAGATTACTCAAGTGGCAAACCACTTTACCTTCCCGAACAATCATCTCTGACACGACTCATGCCGCATCACGTTTGGCCATGTTCGGCTGCTCAAAAACAACGCATGTTTGGCTGATTGTGGGAGATTCGCCAGTGAATCAACTCCTATATCAATTGTTTGCTGGTTGAATCCCAGTCGTTTCTCCAAAGTAAAATCGCACTTTACGATGGTCCATATGCTCCCGTTACTTTCGTTGGTAATTTTTCTCATTTACCTAATTTTACTTATCCATTCGTCGTTGGTCAGTAATCGCTCCGCTTCAGCCAGAATCTCAGAGACCTGTCGAGCAGGTCGCCGGGTCACCAGGATAAAGAGAATGCCCACCAACTGCGAGTACCAATGTGTGGGGTAGAGATCGCCATAGCCTCAGATAGGCCATGGCTGAACTGTTCAGATCTATCATTGGGTCGGTGAGAAAAGAACACCTGAGCTATGAGCTATGTGGAATAGATGGCGACCAAAGGAATAACTTGAATAAATCTGTGTTTCCAGCTATTTCGGAACCAATTTTCAGGTTCAACATGATACCAGCTTGACCACACCCTCTGGTAGTTTCAACTCATCCGAAAAATACTTCTCAGTTGGGATCATCCCAAATATCTGAATCTAAAATGTGGACTTGATTGAAAATTGTTACCGTATAGCCCCCAAAAAAAAACTGCATCTACAATGGTTTCATCGGAAAGGTCATGACAAACCATCTAATTTGTCTATTGCTCTCCTATCTATTCAGTTCAGGGTGGGTCCCCCTAAATGAGTTGGTGCCCCCGGTCTAGTCATAGTTACAGTTTTAGTTATACTTACAGAGATAATCATCATGAACCCATACAAAGCCCAGTTATATGAGTTATAAAATGTTATAAACCAACATAAACCAACTTAGCTGTGGAACTTGAAATGCCCCAAGTTATTCTTGTTTCCCCTTTTCCGCCTCCATTAATAGAGGATTCCCAGTTTTTCAGAATTGGGGCACCGCCTTTGCCCGTCAGGACCACACCACCAAGTGGCCCACAGTAGACATCGTCACCATGCCGAAGTACAGCGATTGATCCCAGGTCCAGCCCTCCAGGTTGGCAAAGAAGACCACCTCAATCCAGCATGGTGGGATGATTGAGGGTAAACTTGATGGATTTTACGGGGATTTTAGTTGGTCATCAAACGTGGCTAGCTGGAAAATCCGGTATACGGTATACATGAAATATAAATGAGGGTTTTATATGATATACATATAATCATATATAATCATATATATATATATATATATACTGGTTGGTGGTTGACCCCTCTGAAAAATGATGGAGTGAGAGCCCAGTTGGGATGATGATTCCATTCCCAATGGAAAGTCATGACTATTCGCCATGTTCCAGTCACCACCAAGCAGTTGATGAATTATGGGATTACCAGCCCGCCACCTTCGATGAATCCATATGAATCCAACATTTTTTTAAGCCGAACAAAAAGCTGTTGGTATCAACACCTTCCATTCAGAAATCACCTGCCACCCGAAAAAATGTCCGAAAAATATCGCCCATAAATCCTAGAACCCAATAAATTATCAACCAACTTTGCTAGGGCTGCTAGGGTTTGGGAGCCCCACCTTCATTGGGGATGTTCCATTCTCTAGGTTTGATTGTAGTAAAAGGCTGGAGCTGCACAGCTACCTGGGGAAACAATAAACACACTGCTCCTACTTGGATGAAGTTGTTCATTGTTCCTGAATATGCAAGTCAAATTTGAGATAGTTGACATGCCCTTCATCTATTCTGAATCTAATCCCTGTTCTTGTTGACTGATTATCATGACACTCTCATAGTGGTTACCCTCCGATCACCAAACAAAACAACTTGTTATTGGAACCTAATATTCCAACTTCCTTCTTTCCTTTTTAGCAGGGTCTATGAGACCATGTCAGTTGGGAGGTAATGCACCGTTGATGCGACTCTCCGCAAGCTCTTTAGTCCTAAAGGGACGTCCCGGCAACCGGCTTCTGACCTTTTTCTTCGATGGCGAGGGCATTTAAATTCAATTTCAGTTGGATCAGCCGGTGAAACTGTTTGGCATTCAATCTGAAGAATTGATCAGAATTGCAGCCGTAAACAGGGTATGTAGATGTAAACGTGGCATCTCAGAACGACATCTTGCAAAATGCAGAGACGCCCAAGAAAACGCGAGCACTTTTCAACTTGTTCCAGGCTTTTCAAGCCCAACGTGCTCGCGGAAGCCATCGGTGATCTCCCGATCTGCATCCTGAAAGACATAGTCCACAAACTCCTCCACCGAAAGAGAGCCATTCTCGTCCTGTCTTTGTTTTCTTCCGACAAAAAAAACAGTTTTCTTACGGTTTCATGCTTAACTGGTTGGTGGTTGACCTACCCCTCTGAAAAATATTGGTCACTTGGGATGATTATTCAGAAAAATAAAAAATGTTCCAAACCACCAACCAGTTAAAGTATTAGCACAATTTAGCACATACGTTCTCCCTGGTGGTATCAAGCCATTCTTGGGGCTCACCAGCTCACACGCGCTCGGTGTCCTTGTCCAAGGCATCGAACATCTGCTGGCAATCGGCTTGGGATACTCCCAAGCTCACCAAGATTCTTGGATTCGCTTGGCTATCCATAAAAATACCCTCTGGTAAACTAACAGTTTGCTATCGAAAATGGCCATTTACAGTGGATTTACCCAGCTACAAAATAGTGATTTTCCATAGTTATGTTAGTTTACCAGAGGGTAGTGGGTTCCCTGGTGGATGTACAAAAATTGTGAACTAAACCATCAACGTGAAACACAGTCTACTAAGCAAGATGTTGTTCAAAAAGGAAATTCAACGAATCCACAAAATAAAAATTGTGATGTGGTTCGCCCGCCTTTTGCGAGACGATTTTAAGAATGGTAAAGCTCTTCAACCCGGGAGTATTTGAACCAAACAAAATAGATCAAAATAGATCAATCACCTGGTTCCAGATGTTAACGAATGGTTTCGAGATGTTTCGATCTCCCAGTAGAATGGGCCAGCTAGACACAGTCCAAACATGGGGATACCCAAAACTAGCAGGTTCAATGGCAAAAACGATGAGAAACGATGACTAAACCTGGCTGGATATTGATTTGTTTGCGAGTTTCCTAGTTTTCCCTTCACTTTCAAACAAATGATTAATTCTCCAAAACCATGGAAGTAGTTTCAAGGTAATACTCTCCAACAGGACATGGCCAGCAAAAGATTTCAAGTCTCTCAGCAAGTTCCGCTGGGGTGATGTTCCCATCGCCGTTCTGGTCGAAACGAGCAAAGGAGGCCTTGAGGCGATGAATGCCGGCAGTGGTCCAATTGGCGCTGGTCAAATCACCTGGGGAAGTCACCAGCGTCCAGCGCGATGGGGGGATGGGAGGATAGGATGAACGGTGCAACGTAACTGTTGGGGTGACTTCGAGTGGATTTCATGGTATACCAATAGTTTAGTAGGATTCAACTGAGATCATATGAGTTCAACTGAGATATGAGTTAAGCAATAAAGAATGTATACAGTATACAGTACTTGGAATTGGGATATTATGTATAGCCTATAATAGCCTATAGTAATCCCCGAATTAGTTGAACAGTAAACCAGGAAGTTACCGGGCGAAACATCATCTTTCTCACATCCTGGAAAAAAATCGATCTTTTTTGGGACGTATGTTAAAGCCATGGTCATAGCTAAGCAGGTAGGCCCATGGCAAAATACTGAGGTATGAAACTGCCCAACAAAGGTTTACACAAATAATTTAAAAATTGGTGTCAACTTTCAAAGCTGGATTGGCATCCGGTTGCATCTTATAAGTTTCTGTTGGATGAATGGCACCAGCCAGAAACATTCGGTTCCGCATCCAAGCAGCCAGGAGAGAAGGCCCAAGCTCCCTTGGGAAAGTTCACATAGAGTCGCGAGCCCCCATCGGAATATTTGATGCCCCGCACTCGTCCAATACTTCCTGTGGGGATGTCATCATCCGCAGAGGCCCAATGGACCAGATCCCGTCGCTGGAAGCAACTTTAAACTGCTGGGCCAGAAACTGCACAAGCACTTGGGCCACTGGATGTAGATCTTTCCATTCTCCTTGAGTCTCACCACTTCACCAATGTCACCTTGCAAAAGTGGCAGTGAATCATCATGCCCCCTGATCCCATTGTATCCCGATCTATTGATGGTTCAACTTGTTGATTTGCCATACATTTGAATCACATTGATAGTCATTGTCCAACAAGTCACCACCAATGTATATATATATATGTATATATATATATATATGTATATGTATATATATATACATACTTATTTATTTATAGTTCAATGGATTGGTTGAAGTACGTATTTGCAGGACACATCCATATTTCATGGGAAAATCATTAAATCCCACGGGATTTCTGCAGTCACCTTCAGGAATATCTTCATCATGCTTCTTCCACTGCACATAGTCCCCGGGTTGAAAGCGCAGAGGTCTCAACTGTGACACTCGGAAGTTCCATGTTCCCTTGGGGAACCGGACCCTCATCCTGGTGGATGAATTCATAGACAACAATAGAATCCCAAATGGTCGATTTACAGCACCAAAAAGATCATACCTTCTGGTAAACACAGCGAACTGGAAAACCATCATGTGCTATAGGCATTTATAGGTAAATCAATTCTAAATATCTATATTTTATATACATGGCAATTTTCAATAGCTATGTTCAATTACCAAATGGTATCTTTTCTGCAAATCCAGCCGTCCTTCCATCCTTCATGTTCAAAGTCTGCACCTCTCCCACGGTACCTTGCTGCGTTGCGATGTTTAGTGCCCTGCAAAAAGTGAATATCTTTGGAGGGGTTGAATGGAATTGAGATGCGCTATCAATCTACATTGAGAACACCTCAAGCACTCAATCAATCTATTGCTTGCATACTGGCATGGGGTATATATAGGCTCTATATATTACTACTACTACTACTACTCCTCCTCCTACTCCTCTTCCTCCTCCTCCTGCTAAGAATATGATGAACAAACCATCACAGAGATTCCCTCCAAAGGTGATCCCAGCCGTGCGCTGCAATGCTTACGCTGCTTAAGCAGGCTCATGCGAGGTCACATATTGCCTCTCCCCTACTAAAAATCAGCAAGTTGGTTTTGAGCGTGGGCAAATGGTTAATAAACCCTTATTAGTACAGTAGTTGGTGACGTGGTTCAGATTCTCCTTCGCGTAGACCCTCACGTTCTTGGGGTGGTCACGAACAGAGGCGGGGGCGGGTGGTTGGATCGCGATTAAACTAGAACATCTACAGAATGTACATAATGTGGTAAGTCCAATCATGCACCATCCACACTCATAGATGTGTGGAAGGAACTACCACCATCCCCAATCGGCAGTTACAATCAGCAGGAGCGGAAAACCCCCAAACCATCCTTTGGCAAAGGAGAAATCAGCCGCCGACAAGTGCTTATGCCATCCATATGAATCAATTATATATCATTCATCATCAACGAGAGGGCAAACAAACACACAAACAATCACGACTCACATATCAACATAAAAGCCTTACCTAACCACAGTAGTAAACTCTAACCCTCAAAAAAATCATCCCCTTCAATGCTTAGTTGGCCACATCATGCATGACTTTACATGATTTGACCACAAAGTCTGACAAGTCAGCTGATGCCACGGTGCCCTTGGGAACGTCCTCATAGTGAAGCGTCCACGTCACCAACGTGTCCTTCTGCAGGGGGCTGCGCCGCAGCTCCGATGGAGCGAAGCTCGCCTCTGCGAAGCCTTCGAACTGCACGCTGAAGTGGAGCCGGTCGGCATCGATGCCCCGGGCCCAGCCTGGTGAAATGTGGTGAAAGTTTAAAAACAGGGAATTCATGGTGATTTCATGGTGATTTCATAGTGATTTCATGGTGATTTGGGATTTGAGGAAGATCAATAAGGGGATTTCTAGGTGATAGAAAGTTGATTTACGATAGCTGAGTTGGTGTTCAATAGGTTAACCATAGCTAAAACCCACATTTTGAAAAATACATCTATGTGGGATAAGCAACTTAGGAGGCCTAACCAGGGTTGTTGAGCCGTTAATAAGGAAGGGTTCTCCAAACCTTAGCGAAGTTGGCTGAAAGAAGTAGGCCAACCGTTGGGGTGATGGCAAATAGATCCACAAATAGATGGGGTTGTAGACCAACTTGTGCCTGCAATTCCTGAGAGTCAACTGAGGATATTGTGATGATGATGATGATGATGATGATGGTGATGGTGACGAATGTGAATAAATATCTATATATAGATATAGATATAGATATAGATATAGATAATGTCAAGTCAGGATTAATCAATATCCCATGATTAATCAACCTCCTCCTCCCAATTTAATCCGGCGTTGACATTATATAGATTTGGGGGCAACTTGATGTGTTCCCTATGGGACTTACGGGATCCATTGGAATCCGGCTTTTTTTATTGGCGGCCAAATGATATCATTCCTTCCAAATGAGTAAATGAGTGAAATTGTCATGAAATCATCCCCAAAAAATGCTCTCACGTGGTTGGAAGACTGTTTTTTTTCGTAGCATTCCGCTCACCGTTCCCTCCTAACCTGTTTGCCCATTGGGGGCGATGACGTAGTCACCCCTCTGGATCTTCGCCAGTGCCAACTGCTCTGGATCGAAAAAGTCGTAACCATCGTTCGTGTTCAGGATCAGCTTGCCATCACGGAGCCCTCCAGCAAGTGAATAGAGTCCTGGGGATTTGACGAAATGAAGATCAAATGCCGTAAAGTCAGGATCTTTGGCTATTGAACCCTCCTATTTTTGGGGGATGAGGAATCTTGACACCCATTGCATCATGGAGTTAAGCATGATTCAATACATCCTGTGACCACCGGATCAGGGATATATCAGATATACCCATATATATATATCCTACAGTTTTGTATGTGTCCATTCAGAGTCATGATTCTTCCAGTGCCCCCAACCACTGCCGCCCAGTAGACATCTTGGGCATCCCAATCACGTTCCGATGTATAGCAATAGGGCTTAGAAACCAACAGCCACATAGCTGAGGATGCAGAATTGCTACCCTCTGGTTATGCCAAAATAGCTAGCTAGAAAATGGCAATAGAAACAGTGAACGTTCCCGTTAAACATGTTAATGTTCCATAGTTTTTTGTATGTTTACCAGAGGGTGATTGCTAATTGCCAAGACCCCAGCCACCTACCCCATAGTGGTGAGGTCAATGTTTTTTGCCCCACGGAATCAACGGTCCGAATCCCCACCTTTGGCGCAAGTGGCTTTTTTTTGGTGCAGATATGAACGTATTTTGGCTTAACATCTTCAACCTGCTCTATTTACCATCTGGTAAACGTTTACAGTGTTTACAGTTTGCGAACTTGAAAATGGCCATAGAAATAGTTGATTTACCCAGCTATAAAATGGTGGATCTTTCCATAGTTTTTTGTATGTTTACCAGAGGGTATCTCTATATGGGGATGAATCAAAAGCGACATTCTAAAATTGCGGGGGATCAACATTGACCAAGTATTGGTGCTCACCAAAGGTGCATAGTTTTAACCCACTGCCATGTAGTAATACAATGTTATATCTGGTTGGTGGCTTCAAGTCCTCTGAGAGAAACAAAAAGACATTAGTCAGTTGGGATGATGACATTCCCAATATATGGGAAAATTAAACATGTTCCAAACCACCAATCAAATATATACTTGCTGATCGTTAAATGTCCTCAGGACACATCCAGCCAGCATGTATGGAAAATTGCCATGCCTCTCCTTCGCCGATCTGATAAACCTTGTCACTGGCCTCCGGCTTTGACAACCTTGGAGCTTTTTTAAAGGATCTCAAAAAATAAACACATATTCCCATATATATATACATATATATATACATATATATATATACATACATATTCCCATAATTTCCCTAATTACCCTCTGGTAATTTAACAGTTCGCTATTGAAAATGGTGATTTAGTTCGTGGATTTACCCATTAAAGGTGGATCTTTCCATAGTTATGTAAACGTTTACCATGTCGGGTATATAGATTCCCCCAAGGTTCGTGGATTTCCACATCGTCTAATCCCGGCAACACGTGGACTGTGGAGTGCTTCTGGAAGTCACAGCGGATCAGGTGGGTGGGCGGCACTTTGACCTGGTTTTGGATGGGCCGGGGAGTTACGAAAAGCCCATGTCGAACAGTTCATGTTTGATACGCTCTGGTAAACATACAACAAACTATGGAAAATCACCATATTTAATGGGATAAATGGGCAATTTTCAATAGCTATTTTGACATAACCAGAGGGTACATCTCCAAAATATCCAAAGTATTCCAAAGTAGAATCTATATCTAACAACCTTTTTCCCAGACTTCCCAAAAAACACCGTGCCGGGGGTGCGTATCAGTTTTTGCCGAGTTATCACTCCTCGAGACACATGGTCTTGGAGTCGTTGTTGATAGTTAGTCTAGCTGATGATACTGATTTCTCAATCACTCTGGTTTTCATTTCAATCCTGCAGAAGTTTAAGAAAAAAAAATAAGCGTGAATTTCATGCGTGTAAGTCATATATACTGTATACATCTGTATACGTTGCGAACATTGCCATGTAAACTTGTCTGGTGGCATTCAATGCCAGACAAAGTTGTTACAAAGAATTCATGAAGTTCACCGGTTTTGGGCATTTCTCGACCCAGGGAAAAATACCGATGGTGTTTTGTTCACTGCGAGGCCCTGTGACTATACCATACGATGGTCATCCTGGAGATATAAAATGAAAATCTCATGAAAATTTCAAAATATCTTCACCAAAATGGTAATATCTGCAAAAATTCTATATTCTATCTACTTCAGGATGATTCTTAGGTCTATCCCTCTGATCCCGTAATAACCGGCGATTGCCATGATCCCCGATCTGCCTTCTCGCCCAGAACGTCTACCACCAACTTTCCCTCATCCCAAAGCACCACTTCGCCGACCGCAGAGTGCAGCCCTTCTTTGCTCAAGTGGACCAGCGTGCCCTTTTGGAAGTTACCTGAGGGAGCTGCAGACGATGTATCCTCTGTAGGTAATTGGTTACATAATGTTACATTCATACCTGCCCCCCGCAATCATAAAACTTAAAGTGGGGTGAAAGTGCTATTTGTTAAAAGGTAGGTACAGCGACATAATTAGGCTGCCGTTTTGGTGAATAATTGAAGGTGTAGGTGTGGGGAAATTCCTCAACCCCGCCGGTCACTATAAGGGGATCATCAAAGGTATTTTTTTGACACCCCTTGGCTTCATACCAGCCCGAAGGGTATCACATGTGAATACCTTTATTGATTTAACTTTATAACTAAAGAAGATATAAAACATGTTGAATTAACTATAGTTGTATCAAATTGGCGCCCGTCCTTTTCTTCTCGGACTTTTCCCCCGGTTACTTAAACATTTGAAGACTTTCCGGGGTAGCAACATCTCCACCCCGGCCATGGTACACATGTTCAGCTGCCTCTCTGGCATCGTCCCTTCCCAGTTTGCGAAATGAACGTAGCGTTCACCGGCCTCGCAGTCCCACACAGACCCGACCACGCCCAAATCACCGCGCTGCACGGTGTCGTCCAAAGCCATCCTGAAATTCGTGGGGGTTTAAGATGATTTAAGCAGCACACATGGGATATAGTCAGCAAACATCATCGAATCGAAGATGGGCATTTATAGTGATAACTCTAGTCTAGTTGATATATATATATAGATTATGTATAATGGATGATTCACGAGAATTTATGACTGATGATACAGTAGCTACCCTCCAATGTCATCAAACATGGCGATTGTATTGATATTCCCGAACGACATGTAGGTTTTTTGGGGGAAATCCGGCACGCCATCTTTGACTTCTGGAGAGTGCAATGATGGGACATTTCCTACAATGTGAGGCCCCCGTTCGATAGCTAAGTTGGTGAACATAACTCCATTAACTATGGTTTATGGATGTTTATGGTACTTATAACTATAGTTGATGTAGCTTATAGACCAACTTATAACTGGGGGGGGCACATTGTAGTACTAGATGAGCCGTGGTCAAAAGGCCTTTTTATGGAAGGCGCATGAAGGCGCTAAGGGAATGCTTTCGCCGCAGCTTACGCACTCACAGTTTTAGCTTATCGCAGGAATAGTTTACGCTGATGCTTACGCGGGCTTTTCGCATAACAGCTGCAGGGTTTTGCTTACGCGACTCTTAAATGGTCATCCTTTTGCATGTGATTTTCCGTGCCAAGTCTTTTTTAGCAAAGAGGACTCTCTCTCTCTCCCCCTCTCTCTCTCTCTCTTTCATGTTGGAGTCTCTGCAAAAATTGATGAAAACAGTACATACCCCCAAATGGAAATTTTAAGGGAAAATGATCAATGACCATGCGAGGTCTTAGGGGTATCATGGACGATGGATATCCTATCCCACAGGATCCATGTATGGTATATATATATATATGCTATTATATGCTAACATTTGGGGTATATTGATGGGATCCATGTTACCATATATAGCAGCACCATGGATCCTATGGGTATGGATAAACCACCCAGCATCCAGTATACATAGCTGCCCTCCAGCATCTGACGTGCATCATCGCTCACCCGAGCCATCGCTTTGGGTCAGATCGGGGCGGCGAAGGGAGTGAGCAGTGGATCTGGTGCCATACCCTATTGGCTAATAGGGCTCTTTTGAGCCGCAAAGCAAGTGACTCACCAAATCTAGGATAATCTAGGTGAAGATTCCGCAACCTAAGATCACTGTTTCACTATTCTCTTCGATGTCCGACAGATTTCAAGCCACCAATTCCCAAGCCGCATTTTTTTCATGGCATGAAAATGGCAATGGCAAGCCACGGGGCCCATGTTTGTAGTGTTCGATCCCACATAAGATCAAACTTTGGCCAAACAACATGCCAAAATATATGACATACAAAAGCAGAAACACATGCAACAAGACTCTATGTGTAGGGGTTCAATGGTTTGGTTAAATGAAACTTTTTGAGGTTACGTTTAATCAATTCTGGAAATGACCAACAAGTCGACTCATACCTGGTCTGAGGCTGACTGCCATTCGGGGCGAGAGGTTCCAACGAAGTTAGGATGTTCAGTACTTGGCTTTTAGCCCGATGCATGTGATATCATATGATCATATTCCAGTTCTAGTAGGTCAATGGCCATTCCAGGATCCTAAATTGGAGGTACCAACCATATATAAGGCCTATTTTTTAGGCCTATGTAAGGGAATATCACCACAAAATATGGCCAAGAATATGGTACGTTTACGTACCTCCATCTGTTGGATCCTGGAATTCCCATTGAGTAGGGGAATACACCCCAGCTAGATGGGCAGGAATCTGAAGACCGAACTATCTCCATTGGATCAACTGGAACCGAACTCACCAGTCGCCAAGCGACGGCAAAGCCTTGATAACACACCAACCTGAGACGACAGACGACAAACGACAGCAAAGCACCATCTGGGCATGTTTTTCTTTTTTTCCCATCATCTGACCACTATTCAGGATTCCTTGTATAAATATATATATATATATGTATTAAGTATATACATAACACAATGTATACTGTATACTAAATTGATTTAGATTATGATATTATATATATATATATGTGTGTTCATAAATAAATCTTGTATAATATATATATAATATCTGGACGGATTACATTGCCCACACCAAGAAGCTTTTCCTATAGTACCCAGCCATTATGTGTTTTGATCTGCCACTGAGGCCGGATTATCATTCATAAACCATCATAGGTCATGATAGACCCTTGTTTTATTATGTTTACACAAATTCATAAATAAAACTGCTACTAGACAGGCGTATCAACCCCTAATTCATTATAACTCTCATGTTATTGTGAGGGCTCAGGATTCACAACAAAAAACTCTGAGCAACTGCCCAAACCTTTCTGAGTTGAGGACGGGTTTCCTATTGATTACATATAAAGTCCAGAATCCCATTAAAAGAGATAGTAAGTATAAGCCCACTCTGAAGTATCAACCGACCATAACTTCTTCTAGAGCCATGTCCAACCCCCAAAGCGAACCATTTCAATATGTATACATTCTATGCATCAGATTCTAGATTTTCCAAGCACAAATTCAGTCGTTGCTGGTTACATAATTCTCCCCATATGCATAAAAGGCCCAGTTCGTTGGCTAAGTTGCTTTGTAACTCCAATTTCGAAAATGACAATTTTAACATGTTATAAGGCGCCTATGCTCTTGACATGTTTTGACTAGATCTAGGGCCTATCTAGGGATTATGAAACCAAGTTCATAAGGGTGTATATATATATATATATGTATATGAGATCTATAGGGATTATGATGCGTGTATAAAACACCAAAGATACCTCCGGTGGCCACGGCCGGCTGCTTAGAAACGTCACCAGCGCCATCAGGATGGAGGATTCCGTCAGTTTCCCTCAGCGCCGTGGAAAAATCAAACCTGGCTGGAAAATCCATGGGCAATCTCTATACCCTCTGGTAATTTGACATAGCTATGGAACATGGCCATTTATAGTGAAATTTCCCTGGAAAAATGGAGATTTTCCATAGTTATGTTTGTTTACCAGAGGGTAAATATCTGGTTGGTGGTTTCAACCCCTCTGAAAAATATTAGTCAAATGGCATCATTGTTCCCAATATATGGAAAAATATGAAATGTTCCAAACCACCAACCAAATATCTACCGTTTGGTTGTTTAACATAGCTATGGAAAATCACCATTTTGGATAGGTCAATCATGATGTTTATACTCTATAAATGGACCATTTGCCATAGCTATGTTAAATAGCCAGAGGGTATCCCTATGGATCCAAACACCTCCTGACGAGGTACCCCAAAAAACACAAAGCATACCCCAGTCCCACTTCCTAAGAAGGTGCGGCGGATCCATAGGGTATAAATACAGGTTTTGACAACTTTAATACGAAAAAAATAAGCTAGAGAAGTAACACCATATCAAACCCACACATTGAACTATCAACCAACAAGTGTTATCCCAGTCTGATAGCGGCTTATATCCTCATTTCTGGTTGTATACAAATAAACAAATAAACCACCCATTCGGGAATGGTAAACATACCACCTATTTATGGTGAAATTGGGGGTTGTTATGTTTATTATTGTTTTGACCGCATTAAATATAATTATATAGTATTACATATGTAACCCCCGAATATTTCTTCCGCAGAAACCAACAACCAACTCTTTCCTGGAAATTGCATGATCCGGATGACTCGCCGTAAACATTTCAGCACCAAGCAAACGGGGCCACGTTGCGGCGCGAACTGGGCCACGTTGCGACGGGATTTCCAGCTGATGATAAGCCCCCAGGGCATCAAGGAGCCGTACAACCCCTTATAATAACCCGCTAAACATAAATCATGGGGAAATCTTACAAAAGGTCATTTATAATCCATGTTTTATTTAATAACAAAAACTGGTTGGTGGTTTCAACCATCTTGAAAAATATGAAAGTCAATGGGAAGGATTATCCCATATATGACATGGAAAACAATTTTTTTGAAAACACCAACCAGAATTAAAGATATCCCCATATCACATATCATCCCTTGTCTATCCCTATGGATCCAAGTACCTTCTCGGGAAGTGGGACTGGGGTATGATTTGGGGGGTTAAGTGCCTTCTCAGGAGGTGTTTGGATCCACAGGGTATGAGGGATTAAACTCCATAACTTGGATTGGCGTAGGGCCCCCAAACAAATAAAACCTGTTCATACAGATTCCCCAAGTGATGGATTTCAAGTGCCAAATGATGAATATGGATCATGGTGCCCATCGTATATGTGAATGTGGCTTTCTTCTCCTCTTGGCCAAGCGAGGCATCGGGATTATAACTATAATTATCTCAAAAGTTACCCTTCAGTAAATTAACATAGACCCTGTTAGATAGCGATTGGAAGGTTAATTTCCACTAAACTTGAGAGGGAAGGGTGAAAGATCGAAAGGTAGGCGTGGGTTGGAACAGGAGAAGAGAGCAAGGGAACGAGGCATATCCGCTGCGGACGGACGTGGGTGGAGTTGGGGCGGATATCGAAAAAAGTCTTCTGGGTTTGGACTCGAGGGCGGGTACCAAAAAGGTAGGTTTCAGGGAGAGGGGACACGACACACACACAGACACACAGACATATATATATATAAATACATACATATAGTTAGATATATGTATAAATATCAGGTTATGGGGTTTGCGAGGCAACGTGTAACTGGGGGCAGCACATTGTTGCAACGCGGATTGGGTTGATTCTGGTGTGTACATGTGTAGAACAGTGTGGGATTCACAAACGTGGTGTTTTGACCCCAGCATGTACCCAAAGCAACTGACTTAGGGCTATCCTGGTGCTGGAATCTTGGTGCGAAAAGTGGGCCCGCGGGGTGACTTCTTGCAAACGCGGCTTTAGAGGCGGACCTTGGGGGAATCGAAGGGGGGGGTTCAATATAGTTGTGATAATTATGTTCTAGTTATTATAGTAATTCTAGTCATTATAGGTGTTCTAGTTATTATACATGATAACTATATATATACGAATATACATATATATGAAACATATTGAAATGTCATTAGCGAAGTCTTTTGGTTGAAGAGAATATCTTGGAGGAACCCTTGCGGAAAATCCACCAAATGATCTAGATATGCTGAGCAAGGGGCAGCGATTATGCTTCGGCAACCACTAGCCAAAGCGCAATATCCCACAATTGCTGGGTAGAGTATGCATATATATATATACGAATCTATATGTATATTGAGATTATTTAGTATATATATATATCATGGAATTATTATGTGTATATATATATAGATACATATCTTTAACTATATTGCCGAAGGAAGTTGAGAAGCTAAACTTCCGACAATATGGACAGATGAAAAGCAGAGCAGGGCAGAGGCAGAGAGAAGAGAAAGTTCAGAAGAGAAAGAGTCAGAAGAAAGAAGATGCAGATGCGCGAAAAGGTAGGAAAGTCGCGATTCACTGCGTTTTTCCAATGATTTGTGGTTCCGGAGGGTCGAAAAGTAGGCTCGCTAAAGCGCGGGTGCGGAGACATATGGGGAGATGAGACATGAAAAATTGCACGCCGTTGTGGCGCGAAGCACATTTCCAAGTCAAAATGCACAAAACACCAGAGGATCGGACCACTTTTGGCGCTTCAGATGTCGAAAAAGTGCACGCCGTTGTGGCGCGAAGCACATCCCCAAGTCAAAATGTACAAAACACACCAGGGTCTGACCACTTTTGGAAGTTGCGATGTCGAAAAAGTGCACACCGTTGTGGCGCGAAGCACATGTCCAAGTCAAAATGTAGAAAACACACCAAGTGCGGACCACTTTTGGCACTTAAGATGTCGAAAAAGTGCACGCCGTTGTGGCGCGAAGCACATTTCCAAGTCAAAATGTTAAAAACACTAGGGGTTCGGACCACTTTTGGAGGCTCAGAGGTCGAGTTTCGAAAAAGTGCACGCCGTTGTGGCACGAAGCACATTTCGAAGTCAAAATGTGCAAAACACCAGGGGTTCGAACCACTTTTGGAGGCTCAGAGGTCGAGTTTCGAAAAAGTGCACGCCGCTGTGGCGCGAAGCACATTTCGAAGTCAAAATGTACA